GCTCATAATACATTTTAAAAGCTTTTAAGAAATCCTCAATTGTGGCATCTCATTCCACTATTCGGCCAATGCCACATCACAACAATCTCATACATTTTTATCTCAAGATATGAGTAATCATTTAATCAAAGCCTTTTTGACAATATAAGACCTTATTAATTAAAATACTTGTTCTTATTAAATGTAGGTTCACCCTTCAAAGAAAGAGAAGAAGAAGAAGAAGAAGAAGAACTACCAAGATAAAAGTTCGATGTCCCTTTCTTTGAATGTAAAGTTTTCCTTTCTTTGATTTAACGAGGTAACAAGGTAAACCATTTTTCTGTGATTAAAACATTAATGAAAACTAATCTAGTTTAGAGATTTTGAAACCAACAACTTAAGCAACCGTTATGACATTCGTTAGTTTTATCTTTACTTTGTTTCTGTTGGAAAGGATGAAGAAAAGAGTATGTCAATTGAAGTATACTACAAATACCCCTGTTAATTAATACCACAATTTCCTTTGATTGCATGGTTTGGGTAGTGGGTTTGAACTTCCCACATCCATTAGTTCTTGCCAAAATTATTCTTTTATTTCATGAATATTAAGACCTTTTCATTTCAATGTTAGGCACATGAGAAATCTTTTCATCTCATGATTATTTGCTACAAACCTGAAAGGTTGTCGCAATTATCACATTTGTTAACAGTTTGGATGCTTATCCAGTTAGATATGTTATTAAGGCCATAAATTCCAACTTTGAATAATAGAAGAAGATAATAGAACAATTTGTCTATTTATATGGTTTTGGTGTAATAAACTATCAGATTTATATTGAGTGATTAAAGAGTTTATATTGAAGAAAGAAAAAAAAAAACAGCAGCTGGGAAAAAAATCATGGGATTGCAAATTTCAGAGAGCTTGGAATTCAACTTTGGGACCTATTTTACATACCTTAGAGCATTAAATGGCTACTTGAACTAGAAAAATATGCCATACTTCCATCAATTTTTTTTTTTTTTTTTTTGAGACCGTTGTCATTTTTGTTGTACTACACGATTACATCTCCTGTAATTTGTAATGAAGGCTATGTTCCTCTTTGATTTGTTACTAATCGATTATCCATCGTCTACATGTGGATGATGAATAACAGGATACTGCAATCTAATATGTGGCTTATCTAGCTAAAAAAACTAATGAAGTTACAATGTGAATTTTGTTCTTTTCAGTCACTTTTATCTGTTGGCAACTTGGCATTGATTTATTTTTTCTTGACATTATAAATTGTTGGGCCTAAGAATTGTTCATATTTTATATTCCTCGGCAACTAAGAAGCATGGACATAATACGGACAAAAAAAATTTCAAAAATATAGGACACAATACATCGGGACACGTGCAAAACATATAATTTTATATAATTGTTATGTCATATTTTTTAATATTATATGTTTATTCTATATCAAATACTTATTCTCATCAAATTTCATCAACCTTCGTATGCTTTTTTGGTGAGAAAAAAAAAATTTTAAATGGGTCCCCAACATATCCTTAGCGTGTCCCAACATGTCCCTAGCATGTCCGACACATCTGGAGCATGTCCGAGCGTGTCCGACACATGTCAGACACCTGGAGAGGTGTCAGTGCGTCATATCTCAGCAAGTTTCATTTTAAATGTTAATGTGTCACCTTGATCTGAGCATTTTTGTTTGTTTTATTGGGCAAATTGCAAATAAGTGGAAGAATGAAAAAGTAAATGCAATTTCATGGGAATCTTTTTGATGCAAGTATAATTTGTGAAATTGCACAAATATGACTTGCACCAAAAACATTCGATTAAAAGTGCAAGTATTATAAGTCCCATGTTTTTGCAATTCCTCTTATTTTATTTTGTTGTATAGGGGCGGTTTGGGGTTGTTGGTCTTGCCTTCTAAAGTTGAAATGTTACATGTACATAAAAGTGATTCAAATATGGATTCCTCTTGTATTTTGAACATAATTTCTTACTTCTCCCCATTGACTGATCTGAAAAATCATCATCGAATCTAATGCCTTGATTGACACTTTCAGGTGCGTGATCTTGTAGAAACATCAAAGAAATATAGCTGTTTAAATTAAGTTACTCGATGTTGATGTCAAAAATGATACAGTGAGAACACCAGGAAGTCTTTCACGTAATCTGCGTAGAGTTAGGCAGGGTCTTGACCTCATTAGAGCTTTATTTGAAATTTGTTGCCTTAAGGGTATGTTTCACTCCTTTCTAGAATCTTTCTTTTCTCACATCTAATAAAATGATTACTGGCACTTGTAAGTTTAAACTTTGTATGACCTGTTCATGCTTCTTTACATACCACGTGCTTTGGTGATACATCTTATTTCTCCATCATATATTGTGAAGAATTTTTTTGGTCTCGATTAATATTCTTTTATTCCTTTGTGCTGTGTTTCTTAACCTTATGCCTTGGCTGCCATATTTGCAATAGTGTTTTAACTTAACAATCTAAAAAACAGTGATTTTGAATCTCTAGTAGGGCTCGAAAATTTGCAATATGAGTTCATTTTTTTCCCATCCAAAACCTTCGAACCCAAATTGCTATCCCTTGATTACTTTTTTTTTTTTTTTTCTTACAAACTCTGTTGATCTTTATCCCCGTTGCCAATACTATTTTATTTTGGTGAATTTGATTGCAGTTTATATTCTGATGTAGGCATGTAGACTAGTGAGAACTACAGCTTCTATGCTAAAACATGATTTTTGGATATGTTATTTTGTGGTTAATGTTAAAACATGATTTGTGGATATGCTATTTTGTGGTTAATATTAAAACATGATTTGTGGATATACTATTTTGTGGTTAATGGTGATTGGATATTACATTGAATGGAAAAGTGAATTACTATTGCATTTACTATTTGAATGAGAGTTATTGTTTCATATTAATGCTATTTTTCAGTTTTATTACAGGTATTTTTTTAGTTCAATAACATAAAATTAGCACAATTTAAAATATATATATATATAAAAAAATATCACGGCATTTCTAAAAATGCCGCTATAATGGTTAGATTTTTAAAATAAAAATATATATATGATGGCATATTAAAAACATCACTAAATATTATTGTAACGTCACGCTACCGTTAAGTACAACATTTGGCGGCATTTTAAAAAACGCCGTCTATACTAATCTAAAGATGTTTTTAAAGCATCATAACACTATAACGACGGCCACATCTTCGGCATTTAGTACTAAACGTCACAAAGAGAATTAGCGACATTTTTCACACCTATAGCGGTGTTTTTCAAACACAGCTATCTTCTATCTTCATTTATTTTGTCTCCCTTTTGTTTATGATAAATCTATGGGCATAGAATCAATCGCATACAACAATTGTAGCCATATATATATATATATATATATATATGTATCTATCAAATGGTAGAGCTTGTTGATAGTTACATTTATGTTCATAATACTGATATTACGAAATGATACATTGGATGGATACATATCATGTATATGCATGGATCTTAAAAGAAAAAATTTGGCATATGTTTATGAATTTTATAACAATGAGGGAATGAGGGACCAGCGGCAAACAAATGCTCTTCTAATTGAGGTTATCTAATAGATTTAACTTATTATATAATCGTGTACCACTCTAATAGTAAATAAACACATAACCATTTTACTTAAAATATATATAGTAAAAAAAATGTGCTTACATATACCTCCTTGTGTAAATAATCATTAATTATTACACTTATTTTTTATGTGACTGATTATTTTTTATTATTATTATACTACTATGTTTTTGATATATATTTAATGGGATTCGAAGGTTTGAACCATAACATGGCAAAAAAAAGGGTTTGTACCATAACTATCCAAAATAGAATTCTAAAGTTAAACCTTTTACATGAATTAGCTTTATACAATTTTAACTAAAAATTTCTGAAAATGCTATATATATGAGTAATGTTAAAAACCCTAATTAATATGTCAAGTAACACATCAATTAAACTACAAGATATATATGTGAATTTTCACAACTTAACATTTTTTTTGAACTGACAATTTTCACAACTTAACATGAGTGTACATAATATTATATCTAATTAGTATGTTAATTAATATACTAATTAATATTTATATCATTATTCTATCTATCTATCTATCTATATATATATATATATAGCATATCACGATACTAAAATTTGAATACAACATTGTTGTTCCGATTTGTGAATTTTCACAACTTAACATGAGTGTACATAATATTATATCTAATTAGTATGTTAATTAATATACTAATTAATATTTATATCATTATTCTATCTATCTATCTATCTATATATATATATATATAGCATATCACGATACTAAAATTTGAATACAACATTGTTGTTCCGATTTACCTTTAAAAGGGTGATGATGACTTCTTTCATTTCTCCATCAATTCATGTTTATTGTTTTACCTTTTACACGGTCAATGTCAAATTTGAATAAGATGGATGGAGAGTTGTATGCGGCTACATATACTCTCGGGTTGGAAATAGTTCAATTCGATCAACGTTGGAAGTAATTTTAGTATCAAATCGATTTTTTTAATTTTGATGATCGATGAACCAACACAGCGATTTGATTTTATTATGTAGGAGAGAGATTTGCTTAAAAATTTATAAAATTTTACATTAAAAATAAATGAATAAAATATATGAAAATTACTCTATAAATATTTTCTCTTCAATTTTTATCACAAAACTATATTATATTAGTCACTCATCATATAATATTTAAAAAATTAAAACATATAAATTTTTAAATATAATTGTGTTGGATAATTGTTAACCATCAAATAATAATAATAATATATATATTTTTTCACTTTCCACAAACACTTACAAATTCTTGTAAAGAATTGTGGCACTACAAAATAAAAGTACAATTGAGTCCTCTAATTGGTTTTGTTCTTTTTTTTTTTTTTTGCAAGAACCTAATTAAAAAGTTAAAAAATGATACATCAATTTCATTTTGTCAATTCTTCTTTCTCATTGCTAAAAAAAACAAAAACAAATACTACATACATAAAGGACCACCATAAACAATTTGAAACAGATGAGGTAACCATCTCTGTGAGTGGCCATCGTGACTTCTCTTCTTCTCTCATCTTTGAACCAATTAATAATAATAATAATAATAATAAAGGCACTGATCTGAGATATTCCATTCCATATGGAGTGTCTATGATAGAGGAAGTTTGACCGGGTACCTATGAATGCAGTCACCCCATGGGCTAGCTTTCAACTGAGTAGCAGTAGCAGGAGCAGGAATCTCCCTCAAGGCTTTCCAAACAGCGCTGTTACACTTGAAGCCGGAGCCAAAAGCAATCTGCCAAACCCGGTCCCCTCTGGAAACCCGGCCTTTGGCTTCGGTATAAGCCAATTCATACCATAAAGAGCTGCTGGAGGTGTTCCCGAAGCGGTGCAACGTCATCCTGGAGGGCTCCATGTGCCACTCAGTCAAGTGCAAGTTCTTTTGCAACTCATCAAGCACCGCTCGACCGCCTGCGTGAATGCAGAAATGCTCAAAAGCCAATTTAAAATCAGGTATATAAGGTTTCACCTTCACTTTGAACAACTTTTTCTTCACCAAAGTAAGGAAAAACATCAATTGTTCCGAGAACGGGAGCACCAGAGGCCCCAATGTCGTTATGTTGGTCTTCAAAGCGTCTCCCGCCACCGCCATTAGCTCGCGAGCTAGCGAAACTCCCACTGTGCCCTTATCATCTTCTCTCTGGTACACGCAGTTGTAGCTGTTGTCGTCAGCACCTTTATGGGTTCGAACCGTGTGGACAAGCTCGTACTTGGACCGGACCCTGTCCTTAGCCTTGTTGGACAGAAGCATGGCTGCTCCGCCCATGCGGAAGATGCAGTTGCACAGAAGCATGGACCGGTCATTTCCGAAGTACCAATTCAGCGTTATGTTTTCGGTGCTCACTACCACTGCGTATGTGTTTGGGTTTGCTTTTAGGAGCTGTTTCGCAAGGTCGATTGATATTAGACCCGCACTGCAACCCATTCCCCCCAAATTAAAGCTGTTTATGTCCGCTCTAAGCTTGTAATGGTTCACGATCATGGTCGACAGAGACGGGGTTGGACAGAACAAGCTGCAATTCACGATCAGAATCCCAATGTCCTCCGGTTTCACTCCCGTTTTGCTGAACAGCGAGTCCACTGCTCCGAACATCACCGCCTCCGCCTCCGCCCGGGCCTCCTTCATGCACAGATTGGGCGGTCTGGAAGTAATCCCTCTAGGTAGATAAGTCTCGTCTCCCAGACCGGACCGGGTAGATATTCGCCTCTGGAACTGAACCATTTCTTCCTCGAACGACCGCTTCTCCTCAGTCATGCTCAAGAAGGATTCCACGGACATTTTGCGTTGGTCTTCGGGTTTGTAACAAGCGAAGTCCACGAGATAGACGGGTCTGGGCCGAGTAGCCCAGTAAAGGGCGAAGAGGAAGAGCAAGACGATTGAACCGATAAGGGCGGTCACGTGTCCAGAAGAGCGGTCTGGTTAGTCCATAATTCAGAAATCCGGTCCAATCTTAGACCGCAAAGCTGAACCAGAGTGGCAATGAACAATGGTAAGACAACAACAAACATGACAACTGTCGCGAAGTTGCATGAGTAGCCATACCCCAACTTCACGTATTTCAGCTTCACCGACTGTAAAAAGTCCGGCAATCGTTGATGGATTTTGATGACAACGGACGATGAGTCCTTAAATGCCATCTCCGCCGTCAATCTCTCCTTATCCATATCGATGCTACCCATCTTCTCTCTCTCTCTCTCTCAATCTTTCTCTTTCTAAATCTTTTTATAGTTGTGATGTGAGTTGAAATTGTGTGTTTTGCTTGGGTTCCTAAACAAAGGAGAGTCTATGGGAAGCTAAACAAAGGACAGTCTATGAGAAGCGGATGAGCTAATTAACCTTCCAAGAAAAAACAATTGAAGGAATTGAAAGCAAGCACAACACGCTTGTTGGAGCAGCTTAGCTTGGTTAGCGGTGGAGAAGAGAGCATTTTAAAGAGAGGGAGTTAGGAGAGAGAAACAAACGCTACTTGAATAAATTAATTAGGGTATTGTTATTCATATAAATTTTTTGGCCGCAATGATATAGCACCAAAGATCTTTTAGTGTATTTTTTTCTAAAATTTTCTAAAATGGTATATTGTGTGATTGAGATTTAATGTTAAAAAATTGATGTAACTTGTTCTTAAATCTCAACCACATAATGCATTACTCTAGAAAAGTTTAAGAAAAAAAAACTCTAAAGGATCCTTACTCATGATATAGGGCTATTTTGAAATGTGGTTGAGAGTAATCTTTTAGTTTTTAACATATTTTGTATTATATTATTTTTCATATTTTTTATATATTTTTTTTTAAAAAGTTAAAAAAAGTATTAAAAAAAATTCATTTTTAACCATTTTTTCAAAACAATTCGTACTTGTGGTATTTTTATACCTAAGAACATTACTATTTAAATAAAAAATTAGATTTAATTTTCAAGTTTAATGATGTGACAATTAATTAGATATTAAAGATAACACTATATTTCATATCTTCTCCATTTATCAACTAATCTTATTATTTATAAATCATTAAATCTAGAAAATGAGTCTAGATTGTAAACTTGTATATCATTTTCCTTATGTGTAATATAATCCACAGATAAAAAATGTACACATAATTTTATCACAAAATCTAGCAATAACAATTTTTAAAGAGTACTACTAGACAAATAGAAAATTAATACATAATGATGTGTCAAATTTTAATTTTATTAGACAGCTTGTATTTGAAAATATTACTGTCACATTATTGTATTTAAAATTTCAATATAAAAAGTCTGTAAATATAAGTCACAGATTTTACTTTTAAAGTTACAAAACTCAACACTGCCAATAAAACTCTATTATTCTGAAAATAATTTTTGTAATATATATATATATATATATATATATATATCTATCTGTTTATATATAAAACTATTGGAATAAATAGGGGACACTCCGGCTTACAAGAAAGCTACTAGGAGTTACTTGATGGTCATCATTTAATTTGGTGAGCAGTTCCGAGAAAGGATAGATAGCTCAACAACCAAAAGCTACAAAAGAGTGGAAAAAGAAAATAAATAAAAAAGGAAAACCAAATATATAGGTTGTTTGACAGAGGTGGTGTTGTTGAATGTTGGAGGAAGGTGGTCACTAATGGTGAGGGTGGAGGAGGACAATTGACCAAGTGGCCATGTGAGAATGTGAGATTTCGTTCAAGCAAGCAAATCTTATAAGAAGTGTAAGAGGACCTTTCATTTTCTAATTCCATGTTAGTTTCCAACTTTTCACATGCATGCACCAAAGCATATTAAACATATAATTAATGTAAAAAAGGACCCTACGTAAATTTAAAATTTCACCTTTTTTTTTAATTATTAATTTTCTTTGTTGCTTTTTTTTTTTAAATACTTTATTAGTTTTAAGAATTACTTCTTTTTTTTTTCGGTAATACTCGAAAAGTTGCGAGTGACTAAGTGGTTGAAAGATGGATAGATAGATAACACTGGACAAATAAGTGAATAAGTAAGTAATACGTGTATAAATATATGACATTAAAATTGATAAACAATGATAGGGTTTGGACAAATTTGTGTCATTTTGAATAAATAGATTTTTTTTACCTTAAAAGAATAAATTTTATATTACAAATAAATACTCCAATTAGTTCAAAAAATTTTGTATTAATTTGTTAAGTTCTAGTAGTAGAGAATTTCTTTCCATGTGGTTTTGTTTTTTATTTTGGTAGTGTTTTGGTAAACGACTATACCATTTTATTAATATGGCAAGTATGATATAACATTGTAGGTATTAATGTTATACTTCAACGTGACGGAAATGATATAACACTTTAAAAAAACTAAAACTTTCTTAATGTATTTTTTTCAAATGTAACATGTAATACTCTAACGTGGTGGGCATGATGTGATACTCTAAAAAAATAAAAAATTTCTTAATGTACTTTTTCCAAATGTAACATGTAACACTCTAACGTGACGAGTATGATGTGATACTAACAAACTATTTAATGTATTTTTTTTAAATGTGACATTCTAATATAACAGACAAATAAGTCATTTTACAATCAAAGTAACTAAATAGATCATAAGAAAAAATATGACACTATATCCATTACAATCCCCCTTAAATTTAAGTCTATAAACCAATTTATTTTATTTATTTATTTATTTTTAAATTCAAGCAATTTTTTATTTGGTTCGACACATATATGCCGGGAGTTATTTATTGGAAATTTTAAAAAGCCGGTGGGTGTAGGTGACTGGCCATCAAGAAACATTAAATGTTGGGGGAGAGGGGGTCAAAGTTGGCAGACGGGAACTCAACTCTCTCGAAAGACCCCAAATCAACCCATTATTGGATAATGGTACATTAAAGGGCAAATTACATATACACCCCTCGAGGTTTGGCTAAATTACAGATACCCCTGAGGTTTTAGAAATTACAATCCGCCCCCTGAGGTTTGTATTTTCATAACAATTTGCCCCCTGAGGTTTATATTTAATAACAAATTACCCCCTAATTTCTTATGCAAATATAGCATTCAGGGGGAAATTAATTTGACAAAAACAAATGTTAAAAAAAAATTTTAATTTTTAAAAATTATTTCTACCCACTAAAGATAAAATTATGTAAAATTGATAAATCTTTTAAGCATTTATTATTTATTTTTACCAAATTAATTTTTATTATATATTTGGATGATAATAATGTAATGAGTGATTGTTTTTGCTTTTATTAAATTAGTTTTTATTTTTTCAAAAGTCAAATATGACGGCAATTTTTATATCATTATTAAACCAATCCATTAAATCAAAAAAATCTAAAACTAAAAACATTTAATATATTAAATATATCAATTACACATTAAAAATTTAACAATTACCCATTACATAATCATCATCTAAACATATAATAAAAATTAATTTGATAAGATAAATAAATAAACAAATGTCTAAGAGATTTATCAATTTTATATAATTTTATCTTTGATAGATAGAAATAATTTTTAAAAATTTTAAAATATTTTTTTGACATTTATTTTTATCAAATTAGTTTATATTTTATCAGATTAATGATTTTGCTCTTGAAATTAGGTAATGATATATTTAATTGTCCTTATTTGGAATAAGATTCAAAATTCAGGGTAAAATATATCACAATTGAAAAATTAAGAATCAAAATGATACGAGGTCTAAACTATAGGGACTGTTAGTGTAATTCATCATAATATTATACTATACAAATTTAAAAAATAAAAATAAAAATACACATTTTTTGTGGCGGATGGTGCAACTGAATTGATGTCTTTTATTTTAGAAAAATGTTAGGACCACATAGAAAGAATTTCTTTTTTCTTTCCTATAACTTTTTATGTGAAATTAAAATTTTCTTAACATATATAATAATGTGCAATATCGATATAAGATAAGTTGAGAGAGAATAGATTAATATGGTTTGATCATATTCAACGAAGACTAACATAGACAATAATGAAAAGATGCAATATAATAACGGTAGATGGAAGTATTAGGGGACGTAATAGATCTAAATTGACGTTGGCTAGCGTAGTAAATAAATATGTAAATTTATTTAATTTGACTAATGAAACGACCTTTAATAGAATCGTATAAAAAAATAATTCATACAACCAATCCAATTTAATAAGACTTAAGATTTGATTTGATTTGATTTGAATTTGGATTATATAATAATGTGTGTAAGTAGGTCAATATGACACGTTTGACACATTGCACGTTGTCAAGTTTGTTAAACAAAAAAGTAAAGCACAAAAAAAGTCCAAGCCCAACACCCCAGCAATGACAACCCTGTGTGGGTTGTCTTAATGGTTTTAAATTTCTTTCTATACTCTAATTCTGTACTATGATTGTGAAAAAGTTTTGGATTGTGCAAACCTGAGGCTGATCTAGCCGAAAGCAGATGCTATCAAGCAATATGAACCCATTGGATCATTTTTTTAATTGGAGATGTTAAATTACGTGTGTTGGTGTGGATTAATTGATAAAATTAATAAAAGTGAGACTTGATTTTATATGTTGAAATTTGTTAATTTAATAAGTGTGGCGGTTATAATAAAGATGTTAAAGTATATGTTAAAGGACACTTTAATATATTTGTGATAAAAATGTTTAAAAAAATCTCCACTGGTACATCAGGCTCTCTTTCTCCCTCCATGAGCGTGCTAAACCCCTCTCTCTCATCTCCTCATTATTTCAATATGCACACAACTAACAAAAATTTTAATTAGCAAGGTTGCAAGTCACCTCTAGCTGATGTATGGGTTCTTTGTTTAATGAATGCTGTTATAGATAACAAGGCTGCTAACATCTCCATTGGAGCTTCAAACGCACGCCATCACACTTGTCAGTCTAATATGCCAATACTCTTAGCTAGTTAGCTCACCACTGTTATGATTGGGAGATTTGAGGAGAAATTTGAAAAGGAAATGGAAAAATGTGTGTAAAATTATGTGAAATATAGGCATGATTTATTCACATTTCACCTACATTTTTCATTTTTCTTTTCAAATTCCTTCCTAAATCTCTCAACTAAACACAGTAGTGTCCTAAAATATTACTATGTGCACGCAAACTATCAAATGTCAAACACGTAACCACAATAAATGAATCAAAGAAAAAACAAAATAAAACAAAACAAAATTTGTATAAAAAGGAAACATTAGGCAATTGGATTGGGACTCTCTAATTTCAAAATAGCCCTATCCCCCTACTTCATATCCTTGCTTTCACAGTAAATTATTTAATAATCTTGGATTTGGGTGACTCTAAAATTAGATTGAGCACCCCATTATTTGGAAACATCAAAATTTGAAATTTAAATATTTATTTATTTATTTAAAATACCTATTATAACTCTAAAAATCAAAATAATCTTAGAAATTCTACTTTCTACACTCCCAAGTCTTATTTGGATACTCGGTGCCGAACAAATGAAATATGTTTAGATACTCAGTTCTGAACAATAGAAATTCGGTTGCAACATATGAAATATGTTTGAACACTCAGTTTTGAACAATAGAAATATGGTTGTAGCATTTTTATCTGAATATTCAATGCCGAACAAATTATGTCCAGATAGTTAATTCCGAACTTATGAAATTTCTTTGGATACTCACTGCCAAACAAATGTTCAGAAAAACAAAGTCGAACATAAACAATTTATTCGGATATTAAATACTGAACAATGACCATTATTTAAAAAACACACTGCTGAATATATGAATTTTGTTTGGAAATAAGTTTTCAAATAAACGTAATTTGTTCAGTACTGAATTTCCGAATCAATTCCATAATCAAACAACGAAAAATGATAAATATCAAATGAAACTTATTTTATCTATAAAAAATTACTTGAAAACATCTTTTTTTTTATTGTCTATTGTTGATTTAAATAAGAAATAAAATGAAAGAATATAATAGATTCAAACAAATAGGATTGGATATGAAGATACAAAGTGAAGATATTGAAAAGAAATATTGTAGTTGATAATAAATGGGGTGTTCAAAACGTTTTGATGGATAAATTATACTAATAGTCCTTATGCTTTACTCTCAATATCATTTTGATCCCTGTGTTTTTAATTTACTTGATTTTAACCTTAAATTTTACATTTTGTACAATTTAGTTCAATCATTATCTTCGGTTAACAAATTGAATGGAAATTTCACAGGTGAGTCTCATGTTAATTTAAGGAGCAAAATGGTAAATTTACCAGTGTTTCTATGAAACTTAAACGAGTTAATTAATTCATGGTGAGTTAACTCACTTGAGTCAATTAGCAAGTTAGAGCTGAGAGAGGGGGATGGGGTGTTACGGCTGGGCTAGAGGGGGGGTGGCGTCACAGTTGAGGGTGAGGAAGGGGTTACGGTTGGGCTAAAGCATAGCGGGTTATGGGTAGCGTCGGGGCTGAGGAATGAGAGGGGTGTGGTGTCATGGCCGGTGATATCAATTAGAGATTTTCAAATCGCAATTGTGAAGATGGAGATAGAGATCTACATATTAAGATAAGATGGAGATTTGCAAATGGAGTTAGAGATAATCAAGATTTGGGGATTGCGATTGCAATCATCCTTACTTTTTTTCTTCTTTTTTTTTTTTTTTGACTTAGATTTTCATTTTGTTTTTTTTTTTTTTTTTTTTTTACTTAGATTTTCATTTTGATTCTTATTTTTTATTTCGATTTTGGCATTAGATTTTTGATTTAGTTTTGATTGTGGTTTGGTGGTAACAGAGTGTTTGGTGGTGGTGTTAAGATGGAACAATCTTCTGTGTAAATAAAATAACTAGAAATAAACTCAAACAAAATAAATAAATAACATACCGGATTTATTTTGTCGAACCAAATAAAATTACAAGACCAAGTCGAGTGTGTGACACTCTGTCCTTAAGAGTGCAAGTGTATGGAAGCTCTGGTATTATTTGATGGTGGCAATAGGGTGACCAGTCACTTGAAGGAGAACGAGCTGTGCGGTGCTGGTTGCTTCTGAATGTTGCAGTGATGGAAGAGAGATGACAGGTTTAAAATATCTATTTTGCCCTTAGAAAAATGTCACATGCTGCTGTGCATAGGACTTTTTTCTGTTAAAATTCTTAACTGAAATTAATAATTGGATTAAATTAATACAAAATGTAAAAGTTAACGTTAAAATCGAACAAATTAAAAGTATAAGAATTAAAATGACACGGAGTGTAAAATACAGGAACTATTGGTGTAATTTACTCCCACTCCAATTTACACTTTTTTGAATGTTAAGTATAGTTTAATAATTTTAAATAGGCACTTAATAGTAATAAAAAAAATCATTAAATTAATATGTTTAACCTAATTTTTAAGGTGCAAATAGAACTAGCCCTTAGGCCTAGATACACAAGTGGTGCCTTCTTTTATTATTATTATTTTAACACAATAGAAAAATACGTAATTACTTTGCCTCGTATATTTTAAGCAAAATGATCATGTCTCTTTAGACAATATTTGTTTGGTTGGATTGAACAATTTGAAATTATTAATTAGCCTTAAGTCTTATTATCAATCCCTTAAAATTGTGTCATTTCCCACTACAAGAAAATGAGCTATTTGAGTCCCATTATTTGTGACAGAAATATTTGCTGACTCAAAAATGTGTTATTAGCATCGGCAAAGTAGGACCGTCTCAAAAAAAATTTACTTAGTGTTATTATTTGAGTCGGCAGACTATGTCGTCACAAAATTTTTTTATTTGCGTTGGCCAAATTTTTACCGTCGCAAACAAAAATTATTTAATTTTTTTTCCACTTTTTTGGCTCCAAAAACTACATCGCGCGCCTTTTTTTCGCGCCATTTCAGGTCACTTTTGCGTCGGTATTCTGTGTCGTCACAAAAAGTAATTGAAAAAAATTAAAACGACATAGTTTTAGAACCTAATATATATACCCTTCCTCTTTATTTTTTTTTCTTTTCTCCTTTTTGCCCTAAATTCAATCTTGGTTCATCACTACAAACAAACTCTTCATTGACACCACTGATTCTCCTCTCCACCGGCACCGCCGATTCTCCTCTCCACCGGCACCGCCGATTCTCCATCTCCATCGGCACCACCGACTCTCCTCCCCTCCACCAACACCACCGACTATCCTCTTGCGGGTAAGTGCTCTCTCTCTCTCTATATATATATATATGTATATATATATATATATATTAGTCTTTGTAAGAATTGAAATACTAGATGATTTGAGTGTTTGATTTGTGTTCTTTCACCCCTCGTTAATTCTGAGCTTTCTCTGGAATCAAATTGGGGGAAAATGGTGTATTCATTTGTAATCTTCAATGGCTGAAGTCCTGACAACTATTTTCAGTTCCATGTTCTAATCTTCATATCCTTGTTGTATATAATCAGGTAAGAGCAATGGTAATTATAAATCCCGAAAATCCTACTGGACAGTGTCTTAGTGAAGCTAATTTGAAAGAAATTTTACGGTTCTGTTACCAAGAAAACTTAGTCTTGCTCGGGGATGAAGTTTATCAGCAGAACATTTACCAGGATGAGCGCCCCTTCATAAGCACAAGAACGGTATATATTCTTATGCTGTTAGATCAATGATGTCCCCAAGTTATGTTTCCTCTGAGAGACTGACATTATAAATTATGCTTTAATTTTTTCGTATACTGGAAGGTTCTGTTGGACATGGGCCCACCCATAAGCAAGGCGGTCCAGCTTGTTTCTTTTCATACTGTGTCCAAAGGATATTGGGGTGAATGTGGACAGCGCGGTGGATACTTTGAGATGACTAACATTCCTCCACAGGTTTGCCTTGCTGTGATTTGCTAATGTCTTCCATATGATTCTTCAATTGCAAGCTAGTCTCTCTTCTTTCTCTCTCTCTCTCAGAGAAAGATTTTTTTCTTTTAGAAAGCAAAGATTGTTTAGGAAAGGCATCGAAAGGAGATGCCATCTGTATACAAAGGGAAAAAAAGAAGATTCAAAAAGTAAATATAGAGGAGGTCACTATTCATTCAAACTCCAACCACAAACCTTCATTTCCTTCATTCAAACTCTATTCAAAAAGTAATTTTTATTCATTAATAAATATTTAATTTTAAAATTTTTGTAAAATATATTTAATATTATACTCATTTTAAAGATATGATTTTATACTTTTTAATGATGTCAATTTTATAAAAATTAAATTTATAAATTAAAAGTTATTTATAATATAATAACAAATTTATAAATGAATAGTATTTTGGAGGATCCTTCATTTTTTCATCCTCTCTCCAAATATGGAGGATGAATTCATTCTCCTCCCAAATGGAGATAAATTTGAAGGGTGGGTTGGAGGAGCAAATCCTCCATATTTGAAGATATGGAGGATGGATTGGAGATGCTTTGAGCGACCCTTCATAAGCGCAAGAAAGGTATATATTCTTATGCTGTTAGATCAATGATGTCCCCAAGTTATGTTTCCTCTGAGAGACTGACATTATAAATTATGCTTTAATTTTTTCGTATACTGGAAGGTTCTGTTGGACATGGGCCCACCCATAAGCAAGGCGGTCCAGCTTGTTTCTTTTCATACTGTGTCCAAAGGATATTGGGGTGAATGTGGACAGCGCGGTGGATACTTTGAGATGACTAACATTCCTCCACAGGTTTGCCTTGCTGTGATTTGCTAATGTCTTCCATATGATTCTTCAATTGCAAGCTAGTCTCTCTTCTTTCTCTCTCTCTCTCTTAGAGAAAGATTTTTTTCTTTTAGAAAGCAAAGATTGTTTAGGAAAGGCATCGAAAGGAGATGCCATCTGTATACAAAGGGAAAAAAAGAAGACAAAAAATACAAAAACAAGATGTCCACCTTCTCAAGTATCAAAACACTTAAAAGTTAAAAATTGTTTGTGTAGGATTTACAACCCCTGTCCCAGCTATACAAAATATTCAAAAATCTACTCTTCAACCTATATAAAGGCTCTCTTTGCTCTCAATAGCCCACTTTAGACAAAGGAATCAAACACCAAGCCTTCTTCTCCCCATTCTTGACTCTCCCCTCATTCCAACTATAAAGATCTATCACAGTATCACTACATAAAGGAACATTCACTGAATCCTGAACATGAATAAAGCCAATGGCCTGAGCTCTTTAGCGCATATCAATGAATGAGAAGATCTAGGAATTAAATATTTTTGCAAAGTATTCTCTCATATATCGAGATTTTGAGCATCAAAATAGAACCATGTGGGAAGCATAGAATTGGCTTGAGTTTGGAATTTATGGAAAAAGTTGTGAATATATGTTACGATGTAATTTAATAAAAGCTCCCAACATTTAGTTTTTTATTTTCTTTTCTCTAGTCACTTCCTCATGGGATACTACTATTTCAACCCACACACGAACGAATACTTTTTCTTTTTTAAGAATGACAGTCATCTTCCCCTTGGAGGATGGACCCAAGCTTAATATAACAATTGATAAGAGTATGTATGTGACACATGTATATATGTACTGAGGCACTTTTTCATCTTTATCATCCAATTTTGCAGACAGTAGATGAAATCTATAAGGTGGCATCAATATCACTCAGTCCAAATGTCCCTGGGCAGATATTTGTAAGTTGAAATCCAATCATTTGGTTGAGTGTCATTGAGGAAGCAAAATTTGTTTGCTTAAAACATTATTAGTTCATGTTCATATGTCAAGAATTTTTATACTTCCACAAAATTAGGTAGCCCCAGTTTCTTCTATGTAAACTATTATGTCTGCTGAGAAAAATACTTTTGTTTTGCAGTTAGCACTAATGGTCAACCCACCTAAACCAGGAGATATCTCTTACGATCGGTTTGTTAGAGAGAGGTAAACTGATTTTCAATTCCATTTAAGTTGGTTTCTCTATTATTAATGAAAATGAAGAGAGTAAACCTTAATTCTTTTTTCAAGCATTTTCTTGATGATTAATCCTCACCACGGTTATTTGAGTGTCAATGCATTCTGTTGCCACCATTTTATATAGTTTTATAACTGAATGTTAGTGTTTTAAAGATCATTATTTTTGTTTTTGTTTTTTCTTTTGGTGCGGGTGGGGCATGACAAACTTCTTGAAAAGCACGGTCTTAGCACAAATATTACTTCAATGCTAAATTCTAGTGTGATATGGCTCTTTCTAGCAGTGAACAATTGTATTTCTCTTAAACAAATGCAGCAAAGGTATCCTCGAGTCTCTGAGGAAGAGAGCACAAATAATGACCAATGGATTCAACAGCTGCAGAAACGTGGTTTGTAATTTCACAGAAGGTGAAAATTTTTCATTCAAATTTCAGTTTTTTTTATTTTTATAAATTTATTCTCATTCATGGGTAAATGGTTCAGGCGCCATGTATTCTTTCCCACAAATACGCTTTCCACCAAAAGCGATAGAGGCTGCCAAAAAGGCCGAAAAAGTTCCTGATGTCTTCTATTGTCTCAAGCTCTTGGAAGCCACGGGCATCTCCACTATCCCAGGTTCAGGATTTGGGCAAAAAGAAGGGTAACTGGTTCAGGCGCCATGTATTCTTTCCCACAAATACGCTTGCCACCAAAAGTGATAGAGGCTGCCAAAAAGGCCAGAAAAGTTCCTGATGTCTTCTATTGTCTCAAGCTCTTGGAAGCCACGGGCATCTCCACTATCCCAGGTTCAGGATTTGGGCAAAAAGAAGGGTAACTACTTATCTTTTTTGGTTCATCATTTCGGAGGCCACTTTCCTATAGAACTTCTCACACAAAACTAGCTTTTTGAAGCATTTTCTTTTATAACCTTGTTTTGTTCATTGTTCTATTAGAATACTTGGAATTCATACATTTTCTTGGTTGTCTCATTCATATGCACTAGTAACAATTTTTCCCGTGTAAGAACTAAGCTGTATTTGTTCCGGGTCTAGTGTTTGGTTCAATAAAAAACGAAAGCCACAGCAAAAAAAGCTTATTTGGGTGAAAATATTTTACACTTTTGAAAAGTGGAAAATGTTTTTGGGACTTTAGGTTTTACTAATTTTACCACCGGCCGCTACTGCCTTCACCCGCCCCTCCCCTCTAATATAACAGCTATAACATTAGTTTCAAGGTCATAACCAGATACAAGAAACACGTTTTCTGGAACAAGTTTTCAGTTATTTTATTTTTTTCTAGATTCAGCCGAAACAAAAAGAGCGTAAACTACCAATTTACTATTTATTTATGGAAGATACTTGTGTCGTGTGCTTAACCTCTTGCTTCGATTATCTGATGGATTGTCATTCATTCCTGTATAGGGTCTTCCACTTGAGAACAATCATCTTGCCGGCTGAGGAAGACATGCCTGCGATCATGGCCAATTTCAAGAAGTTCAACAACGAGTTCATGGACCAATATGAAGACTACAGAGGCTATTCGAGGATGTAAGTGATGTCTCTGAACTGTCTAATTTGTACAATTCTCTTCTGTTGGTGGGAAGCTATTTGATGTACACCTCTCAAACACTCGTCCTTTTTCTCTCCCAATTTCTTTCTGTTGAAAATTTGGTTCTTGTATCCAACTGATCACTTTAATAGGTATTACAGAGATGACTTTTTACTTTTAACGATGGATGTGAATGGAATGCTAGATGAAAAAAGTGATTTAAGCATGTACAAAGTTTAAAGAGGGATTTCTCATATGGGTTTCTCTTTAAAATTGTTGTTTGACCTCTTATTGCCAGTCTCTGTTTGGATAGTGATATCTTTCAATGTTTCAATCGTTTCAGCGAAAAATATTTTTTTGTGAAATTAAAATAAAATAAAATTGTATGAAACTTTTTCTTGAAAATGTTTTCGGAAGAGCTTTTTTCTATGTTTGGTTCTTTCTTAAACTAATGCACTTAATAGTTGTATTATTAGTGGGCGGTGGTGGTGATGGAGGTGTGATGGTGGGTCGGCGGTGACATTGTGGTGGGTGGCGGGTAGTGTAGTGGCATTGGTATCACTTTAGTTAGGAAAATGTTTTTCACTTTTAGAAGTGAAACATTTTTTACCCAATTTTGCCCAATTAAACTTATTTTTCGTTGATCGCAAAAAATGTTTTTCTTGTACCAAACGTTAGAGAATGTTGAAATTTTTTTTTTCATGTATCTCTTGTTGAAAAGTGCCTTTGGAAATTTTTCCAGAACAATGGAGGGTGATGGTGGAGTATTGGAGTAGTAAAGATGCAATGGTATACAAATATATTCATGTATCTCTTGTATGACATTTAATTAATAGTTTCGTTAAATACTTTATACTATTACAGAAGATTGCTAGTCGTAATTCTAAAAATCGAGAGCTGCGTGGTCCAGTGCATAGGACCGGAGAACACCCTTTGCCGATGTACGACATAAGGTAATGATTTGTAATTAACAATTATATAAAAATTAACTAAATGCTAACTCTTATCTTGTTGGCAATTTTAGATGATGACTGATGGAGAGGCACTAACAAAATGAGTGTCTTCATGAAGACACGCATGATAACGATCCAGATGTTAAATTATTTTTGGTATGGGCCTTGCATATTGGTTTAATATTTTTTTTAACTGTGCTATTTGTATACTAATATCTTTAAATATTAGGATGAGTATAATGAGCAACTCTCATATGATAGACGAGCCCCTCAGGACAGAAGAGGTACAAGATAAGATTTCCATAACCTAGTAGGAAAGGATGGACACGGAATTGCAAGACTTATGGGATAGGTGTGCCTCGAAGTGCAGTGTACAAAAAGATGTTAGTCCATCACAAGCATCCTCATCATCGACTGTTGAGGAGATCACTCAACAAGTACGCCAAACAGTTATTGAAGAGATCGAACAAAGGCTGACGGTTGAGATTGAGCAAAGGTCACTGAGAAGTTGAAGGCAGAGTTCGAGCAAGTTTAGGCTTGGATGGACTTCATAAGGTCCCAAGGTGGCCTAAGTGGTATACAGGTGGAGTAAAAATGACTAACTGAATACTTGGGCAATTTGTTTGTTTTTCTTTTCTTTTCTTTATTTCTATGTATCATATTTAATAAAATGGTATTGGTGTTGGTTATATAGCTTCCAAATGCCTCTAGTGGACGTCAACAAGTCAGGAAGTCTGTAGGAATCATGATAGTCAAGATGATGAGTGTTGGGTTCTCCTGTGCAGGTATCTCTATTACATAATGTTATATTCACAATCACACGCAATTGAGGTTAAGGGTTAGCCTACTGAAAACCGATTTAGGTTATTGTTGCTGTTGAACCTATTTTCCTGATGTTGAACCTAAAGTAAGACTGATTAGTGTTGAACCTATTTTGCATTTCTTATAGTGTTGAACCTGTTTTGCATTCTTTTAGCTATTAAGTTCAGCCTCATTAGCATGAATCATTTCATGTATCGATTTGAATCTCATACATTAGTTGTGTTAACGTGGACAAAACCATTTGATTAGTCTAGGATGAGAGGGATTCGAGTGGAGGATAGATTGGAAGGCCTCATCAATCTCATGGACATAATTTTTCATGTTCTTAAGACTGATTTGAATAGGGTAATTTGGCTTTCAAAAACAAATTTGTTTCAATCTTTTCATAACTGCCAATGGATAACAATGAAAATAGTGTATCATTTTTTACCAAAAAACTCAGTTTTATTTTTCAAATTCTCACAACCATTCACAAAGTGGCTGACCACATCCATCCTCCCATCATTTAGTGTCCTTTATTTGAACCCAAATGTATTTAGAGGAGTTGCACTCTCTGAGGAGATGATTCATGTCATTACTAGCTAATCCACATCTGGAGCACAAAGTCAATTGAGGCCATATTCCTTATGAGTCTCATATGAGCAACCTTCCCTTAAGAATAAGCCAGATGAAATTCTAGATCCAATTCCAATCTCCATTGCTCATGTCCTGATTAGCAATTTATAGTTAGCAGCAGTGAACTTACCACTAGTGGAACCAACCTAAAAAGGAGCATTTGTAAAGGTCACAAATCTGGGCCTATTTTATTTTGAGAATTTCTAGTATGGTTCAAGAGCACACCTAGTTTTCCAGCACTTCAATGTCCCAATTGCCTTCACTGTCCAGCACTGAGCTAGACAATTTGATTATAATCTAGACAATTTGATTATATTCAGTGAGGCCTAATAGTATAGCTAGGGAGTGTTTTGTTAAAATTGAGTTTATGACTTGGTGAAGCTATATATATATATTATATAACCTAATATTTGATTTAATTTGTTTTTGTTTTGGTTTTTGTTTTCAGGTTTTGCATGAAGACTGATTGATGAATTAATGGTGGCATGGAAGCTAATTTTATTTTTGGACATATTATATTATGGCTTTTTGTTTTGGTTTTTGTTTTCAGGTTTTGCATGAAGACTGATAGATGAATTAATGGTGGCATGGAAGCTAATTTTATTTTTGGACATATTATATTATGGCTTGAGATGTCAAGCTTTTTGTACTTAATATTTATAACATATTGCTACCATACTATTTGTATTGATGTAACAAATTTTTTGTTAATATTTTGATGTCAATGAAGCTAAGATGATGACTGAATTTGTATAAATATTTTTGGTTTTTGAATGAATGAATGAATGTCTATTGATTGAATGCATTTTTTTTATTAGATTTCAATGAACATAATACAGGTATTAATTACAAAAAAGAAATAACTTTTTTATGAAAATATATATATATATATATATATTTTTTTGTGACGGCAACTAACAGTCTCAAAAAACCTATGCAATGTACAGGTGAATTTTTTTAGAGTCGGCACATTGCAGACACAAAAAACTCTATAGCGACGGTAATGTACCGACATAAATAATAGTAGTGATTTTTTGGTCTTTTTTGTGACGGCAGGATACCGTCTCAATTAATACATTTTGCCGTCGCAAATATTCTGTGACGGCACAGTTGCCGACTCAAAAAGTTTTAGCGACCCCCGTACTCTCGTCCCTCACCATGCCGTCGAAAGGCCGTCGCAAAAAGTTTTTGCGACGGCAATTATGTTTTTTGCGACAGTAACCTGCCGACTCAAAAAGTATGTTCTCTTGTAGTGTCCTATGTTTAAATTGCTACTAAATTATGAAGGGGATTAATATACTCCTATATGATCTTATGTACAATATTTGTTTGGTTGGATTGAATAATTTGGAATTATTAATTAGCCTTGAGTCCTATCATCAATCCCTTAAAATTATGTGTCATTTCCTATGTTCAAATTGCTACTAGATTATGAAGGGGATTAATAAATCCCCTTCATGGTGTAATGACCACAGTGATCAAATATTGAATGATATTTTGGTCTTTTAACCCCTTAATTTGGTTTAGTAAAAAAAAAAAAAATCTTAGTTTGGACCCTCTTAATTCTCACATGTACATCTCATACTATCAATTCAAAAAACCCACATTTATATTCAAACAATGAATTTATGATTAACTAAGATACATAATCCAATCATATAACCTTGTCTCTTCCAAGAAATAAATCTTATTGTTGGTTGGACATACCATCATATGATATGATATGC